TATGAGTATTGCTACCCCAGTTTTTTTTTGCTTTCCATTTGCTTGGAAAAAATTTTTCTATCCCTTCACTTTCAACCTATGTGAGTCTTTTGTTGAGAGGTGGGTATCTTGTAAACAACATATAGATGAGTCATCCTTTCTTATCCAATCAGCTACTCTGTGTCTCTTTATGGGAGCATTCAATCCATTTACGTTTAAGGTGATTATTGATATGTACTTATTTATTGCCATTTTTGTTTAGTGTGGTTCTATTTTTCTTCCCATTTCTACTGCTAATTACAACAGTCCTTTTAACATTTCTTGCAGTGCTGGTTTGGTGCTAATGTATTCTCTTAGCCTTTTTTTGTCTGGGAAGCTCTTTATTTGATCTTCTATTTTGAATGATAGCCTTGCTGGGTAGAGTAGTCTTGGATTCAGATTCTTGTTTTTCATGACTTTGATTACTTCATGCCATTCTCTTCTGGCCTGTAGTGTTTCTTGTGAGAAGTCAGCTGAGAGCCTTATGGGGTTCCCTTTGTAGGTAACCTGTTGCTTATCTCTTGCTGCTTTTAGGATTCTCTCTTTGTCTTTAATTTGTGGCATTTTAATTACTATGTGTCTTGGTGTGGGCCTGTTTGGGTTCTTCTTACTTGGGACTCTCTGTGCTTCTTGAACTTGAATGCCTTCTTCCTTCACCAAATTAGGGAAGTTTTCTCTCACTATTTTTTTGATATATTCTCTATCCCTTGCTCATTTTCTTCTTCTTCGGGGACTCCTATGATGCGAATATTATTACGTTTCCAGTTGTCCCATAGTTCTCTTAAGCTGTCTTCCTGTTTTTTAATAGTTTTTTCCTTTTGTTTTTCTGATTGGTTGATTTTTCTACTCTGTCTTCTAATTCACTGATCTGGTCCTCAGCTTCCCTGACTCTGCTCTTTAAAACTTCCAATGTGTTTTTCATTTCAGATATGTCATTTTTTATCTCTTCTTGTTGGCTTTTAATTTCCATTTGGCTTATTTTCAGTGTCTCTATGTCCTTACTCATGCTGTTCAGCTCCCTCAAGATCATGGCTCTGAATTCTAGCTCTGTTAACATGCCTAATTGCTCCACATTGATCTCATCTTCGGTGGAGGTGTCTTACTCTTTCATTTGGCTTCTGTTTCTGTGTTTCACCATTTTGGCTATCAATGTGGGCTTTGGAGCCTGTCAAGTTCTCCCTGTGGGTGTTGGTGTTCTGCTGTTTGTGGCTCCCTCTCCTGTGTTTAGATGAGCTAGGGAGTACCCACGTTGAACACCACTGTCAAGTCTTACTTTCCTGGTTAAAGTTGCCAGCCCAGGAAACGTACTGTTATCCTCTAGCTTTTTGCCTGGAGGCTAGCAGTCTAGGTTAATTGATGAGTTTTGGGTTGTCAGTTGATTGAAAAACTCCCTCTGGTGCTCAGCAAAGGGGCTTTCACGAGGGTGGGGCCGATACTGGTTGTTAGTGAGCCTCAATTAGCACTTCAATGGCCCACAGGGTGGGGTTGGATCTCCGAGGGAGGGGCTGCTGCCTCTCCTCAGAGCTCTGGGATGGAGCAATGTGGCCACCGTCCTGAGTGGCTGCACTCAGCCAAAGCTCTGAGCGCCCTCCAAACCCCGAGTGTCTCGACACAGTTTCAGTCCAGTCCGCCCTCCCTCTGCCGGAGCCCAAGGTGAGTAGCTGTGGGTGTTTCAGCCTCTGTCCCGGCTCTGGGCTGTGGAGCCGCCTGGGAGTGTAACCGGCGGGCGCTGCTCCCAGCTGAGGCCGCTGCTGAGCTGCGACCGTGGGTTCCCAGCCCCGTCTCGCGCCTTCGCAAGCCTACCGGGATGGAGTCAGTGTCCCTCGTTGTATGGTCCTCCAGGCTGCTTTTCTGTTGCTTTTTCCCATCGATTTGTCTGTGTTATAGTTGTAATTCCTGTTTGGTTCTGGGAGACGGTCTGTGTAGCTCCGTTCACTCCGCCGCCATTTTTCGGTTCTCCTAGTAAGAAAGTTCTTAACGGAGAAAAGCCAGTTCTGCCGATGAAAGCAAAAGGATTGAAGTTGTTTGGTTTTGGTTCAAGAATGCTAGATCCATCTATACTTTTTCTATGCCAGTGGAAATTATTAGAGTGAATAAGTAACAAGAAAATTAAATTATCCATAATTTAATAATTCAGTCATAAAGTGCAGAAGTGATTGTCAAGTGGCAAAGGTCAAAACCAGAAATGATCGGCTGTCAGAATCCACTAAGAATTTTTCAGTAGAGACTTCCGGTCAAGATGGCGGGTAGGTAAACGCGGTATCGCGTCCTCCCACAACCACATCCAAGTTACAACTAAACTACAGAACAACCATCATTCAAAACCGCCTGAAATAAAGCTGAATGGAAGTCGTACAACTACGGAATTTAAAAAAAAAGCAGCTACATCCAGACTGGTAGGAGGGGTGGCAGCACGAGGGGTGGCGGCAGCCCAGCGGCAGCAGCGGCACAGCGGTGCGACGGGCTGGTCCCACACCCACGTGTGGCGGATAAAAATCAGGAGGCTCCCGTGGCTGGGAAGGTCCTTCCTGAGGACTGAGGGGTCCCCATCCCACACCAGGTGACCCGCTCAGGGTTCCAGTGCCAGGAGGAGAAGTCCCCATAACTTCTGGCTGGAAAAACCAGCAGAAACTGAGGCTCAGGGAGGCTGAGGCGGCTGGAGCCCCAGGCAGCTCCCTAAAGGGCCGGCGCACGGAATTATCGGACTCTCTCTCTCTGAGCTCGGAGGGGAGGCAGCTCGAGGGGCATCAGGGAAGAACTAAGCTGTCTGGCACTGGAGCGAGGGCTGGAGAGGGGGCTTCCTCGGGGACAAACGTGCTGTCAGAGGCCTTTGTTCCTTTCGTGAGCCCTTCCCTGGGGCGGCAGACAGAAGCCATATCCGGGACTCCAGCAACCTGGCTCACACTGGTAGCCCCGCCCTCCTGACTCCCTGAGGTCCCGCCCCACACAACTTTCGGGCCCACCCAAGCTGTTGCCAGTTGCTTAACCATAGGATTGGCCGGTCTTGGATCCTGCTTCAGGTTTTTCCTAAATTCTTTCAAACGAGCAGCATCGGGTCTCAGTGAGCCCCATACCTCTCAATAAGTAATACACGGAAAGAAACACAGGGAGGCAGCCAAAATGAGGAGACAAAGAAACAGGTCCCAAATGAAAGAACAGAACAAAACCCCAATAAAGAACTAAGCGAAAGGGAGATAAGCAACCTAACAGATACTGAGTTCAAAATACTGCTTGTAAGGATGCTCAATGAACTCAGTGAGAACCTCAGTGAACTTAGGGAGGGCCTCAAGAGCATAAAAAAGGACCAGTTAGAAATCATGGATACACAGTCAGAGATGAAGGAGGCATTAACTGAAATAAAGAATAATTTACACAGCTTCAATAATAGAGTATGTAAATCCAAGGAGCAAACCATCGATTTGGAATATAAGGAAGCAAAAAATCCCCAATCAGAACAGCAAAAAGAAAAAGAAAAAAAGGAATCCAAAAAAATGAGGATAGTGTAAGGAGCCTCTGGGACAACTTCAAGCGTGCCAACATTCGCATCTTGGGGGTGCCGGAAGGAGAAGAGAGAGAACAAGAAATCGAAAACCTGTTTGAAACAATAATGGCAGAAAACTTTCCTAACTTGGTGAAGGAAACAGACATACAAGTCCAGGAAGCACAGAGAGTCCCAAACAAGATGAACCCCAAGAGGCCCACACCAAGACACATCATCATCAAAATGCAAAAGGTTCAAGACAAAGAGAATCTTAAAAGCAGCAAGAGAAAGGCAGCTAGTTACCTACAAGGGAGTTCCCATAGGCTGTCAGCTGATTTCTCAAAAGAAACTTTGCAGGCCAGAAGGGAGTGGCAAGAAATATTCAGAGTGATTAAAACCAAGAACCTACAACCAAAATTACTCTATCCTGCAAAGCTGTCATTTAGAATCGATGGCCATATAAAAACTTTCCCAGACAAGAAAAAGTTAAAGGAGTTCATCACTACCAAACCGTTATTATATGAAATGATGAAGGGTCTTTTTGAAGAAAAAGATAAAATGTGTGAACAAATAAAATGGCAATGAATACATATCTATCAACAATGGAATCTACAAACAAAATGAACAGGTAGAACAGAAACATTCTCATAGATACAGAGAACATTTTGTTGGTTGCCAGTTGGGAGGGGGGTTGGGGGAATGGGTGAAAAAGATGAAGGAATTAAGAAGCACAAATTCATTGCTAGACTGACAAACCTCAAGGGGAAAGGCGTTGGGGGGTGGGGTTGGGAAGAAATAAACCAAAGAACTTATATCCATAACCAATGGACACAGACAATAGTGTGGGAAAAGGTGGGAGGGGGGCAGGAGTGGGGAGGAGGGGGTCAATGGGGGAAAAATGTGGAACATCTGTAATACATTTTACATCTAACAATAAAGATTAAAAAAAAAAAAAGAATTTTTCAATACACTATTTTTTATTCCTATCTCCTGCCTTATATACATATATTTTCTTTCCCCTGTCCACAGTTCTGTTAATGTGAAAATTGACATTTATTAAACATTTGCAGTGTACTCAGGATGTGCTTTCTGTGGATCATTACAGGTAGTATTTTGTACAACGGGAGAAGATGCTCTATGCTATTATCCCCTTTTGACTAGTGGACAGTTTGGTACAGAGAAGTAATTTTTTCCTGAGATGTAAAGCTAATCAGTGGTAGAGTCAGGGTTTGAACTGAGGCCATTTAACTTTGCTCTAAAGGGCCACAGTGCTCACTGAGGAGAGAAAGAAGCTCCAGGACTGGAGGGGAGGAAGGGAAGAATGTTGAGAATATTCTGAGAAAGTTCATCTGCCGGTTTCTAAGTCCCTTCTCCACTGAGTACAGCTGAATCCTGATTAGACTATGTTTCTCTTAGACAACCTCTTTTTCATTGGAAACTTGGACAGGAGCCTATTGTTTGGACATATAAATCCCAATGATTTTCTTTTCTTTGTCCTCAGGATTCCATATTCAGGATGGCCCTTTGGGATCCTGTGAGAATAAGTACTGCGGCCTGGGAAGGCACTGTGTGATCGGCAGAGAGACGGGGCAAGCGGAATGCGCCTGCATGAACCTCTGCAAACGGCACTACAAGCCCGTGTGCGGGTCGGACGGGGAATTCTACCAGAACCACTGCGAGGTGCACAGAGCCGCTTGCCTGAAGAAGCAAAAGATCACCATCGTGCACAACGAAGACTGCTTCCTCAAAGGTGAGTTCAGGGTGAACCGAAATCGGCCCCCTCCTCTCTTCCTTTTCTCCTCCCAACGACTGCCTGTAAGTTTACCTCGAACACAATTTTATATCAGCGAAGGTCTGAAAAGGGAAAGGAACACAAAAAGAAAACCACGTGAGCTTAGTTACACCAGTGATCAGCAAGTGTATAGAGATTTACAAGGATGCAATTCGGAATCTCAGTTATGAGAACAAAGCTGGCCAAAATATGACTCAAAATTTAATACAGCTTACAGCATGGTACCATATGGCTTCCCAATCATGCAGTTATATTAGGGATACAGGGTAGCTGGCCAAGTCACTCAACAGGCCATATCCACCCGGTGAAAGCACCTGGAGTGGAATTGAGGGAATAGTGAATGCCAAGTCATGCTGGGATAACATCTCATTTCCTCCTGATTAAAAAGGATGGTTTCATTTGTACCATATAATTCAAATCATACTGAACCCATACATGTCCACTGAAATAACTGTGAAGAACTCATGCTAAACTTATTTAATAAACCTGAGACGACCCTCATTTAGACTTTTAAACTATTGGTATTTACTTTCATGCTACTCAGAATCTTTGGTCATTGTTTGTGGAAAGGTACTGCCGAATTAGTAATTTGACAAGTTATTTAACATGTTATATTAATAAATCATTGAACAGTTTTAAAGTCATTTATTTACTTATAAATTTATTTGTTATTTGTTGTTTTTTTGTACTGGAGAGAATATTTGCTTGTTAATAGTTATGACCCAGACTGAAATTCTAAAGTGTGAAATAGATTATTTAATTAAAGTATTAATATATTATTTAAACATGTATAAACTCTCATTCAAATAGGTCAGTTATCAACCTAATTACTAATCTTTGTTTCCATGTCCCAGTTTCTTAGAATACTCCTAAACTATATTTACACTTAAAACTTGTTGAATGGTTTAATTCTTAGTTTAAATGTATGCTTCAAATATCTTATTACGCTTCGTTTGCTCACCTATTAAGGTAAAATGACAATTTAAAAATTGCCCTTTTTCAAACTTGGTAGAATAAATAAAGTACTGTTTCCAAGGTTATGAAGAACTTATACATAAAGCTTTTAAATGAAACACTGTGAAGTTATTGTGGCTACTAGAAGCCCTTTAATATAAATGAAAAAAAATAAGAATAGTTTTCTTACCAGTATGACCTGTGTGCACCTTTACTACATGTTCAGAAAATTTTATGATACTAGATTTTCTTCCTTGTCAGAATGAAGAGCAGCTACTTTGATTTTTAGTTCAATTTATTCCTCTCTTTTATCAATTCTATTTTACAAATAACTGAAATTGATTCTATTAACATTGTGCTTTAAGCTCATAAAAGAGTTTTTTTTTTTTTTCTGTAATTTGGACCTGAGATGATACAGTGGAAAATGTTCTATTCCACTGATGCATGATATCATAAAACTATGTAAATATATGCTATTAAGTTAATTTAGAATCATATTTTCCAGCTGAGGTTTTGTCCAGCTCACACTAAAGGATTGATTATATGGAAATCTATGGTATTAAATATCATGTGGGAGAAATCTGGTCTATTTAATGTTCTGCTTTATTTCTGGATGCTTAGGCATAATGCACTCACTCTGTAATTCAGGATGGAGGGACATGAACTGGATATAGCTAAAAAATATTCTTCCTTATGATCTTATACAAAATGGTTTCAAAAACTTGGTCCTTCACACTTATACTAAGCATATTTATTAAATCTATGGTTACTCCAGAATTCTATCTCATTATATATAGTATTAAAATTCCATTTATTTTTTCTGAGCTAGTTAGCACATTTCCCAGGTCTCAGAATTTATGGGACTTCTGTTTGTAGCTTTATTTGTTCGGTGGTTTGCCTAACATATATATCACTCATAAAAGGGCTTTATTTCAGCAGAATGGAAGTAAATAATATAGACCAAAACAATAAATTGCCTGTCTTAGTTGTGTATGATTGGCCAAGTTTGGGACATAAAAGAAGATTCTATATAGCTGAAGGCCTGACATTGCTGCAATGACTAAAATGAATTCTTGTGATTGTGAATAATATTTTCTGTGAAATTTCAGTTATTTATAGTTTCCAATAATGGTGCAATGGAAGAAGCACCTCCAGTTTTGCTGGAACAAGCCACAGCCATTTGTTTAGGAATTGTTTGGGGAGCCGTTTGCCCTATGAAGGGAGAACTGTGAAGTTGTAGCAGCAGGAGAGGGGCCAGGAAAACCTAGAGAGTATTTCACCTGGATCTAGTCAGAAAAAAATTTCTTAACTTCTGCTTTAAAAGATTACTAGTGCCTTAAAATTGATGTTAAAAAATGTTTGTAGATCTTTACTATTCTGTTTCTTCTTGGCTATGGTGGACAAACACACATGGTAAAATAAAGCGGAACACACACACCCATGCACAAATGGATACAAGTAAAACAAGACATCTGTGCAAGGTTACTAGATATACCATGGAAGTTGATATCCTGGTTATGGTGTGGCACTATACAGGGGCTGGCAAAAGTAGGTTGACAGTTGTGAGTACACAAAACAGAGAGCTTATTTTTGTATTATTATTTAGTAATTATTGTATTTTTCCATACGAACAATTGTCAACCTATTTTGCCCCACGCTGGGTGGAGGGTACATGAACTCTCTCTGTATTATTGCTTATCAGCATATGATTCAACAATTATCTCAAAATAATAGAGTTCAATAAAAAAAAATAATACTGGAAAAATATTAGCAGATACATAAAACAATTTTTAAACATGTAGGATTTGCATTATTTATTATTTGAACTTTAATGTAAGTCCCATTTGTTTCACATACTAAATTTATCAGATTTATGTTAGATATTTACATTTTAATACTTTTAATAGATTATATTAAAAATAGATTATATTTGTACAATCATGTCTGTTGATTCATTTTTTTTTAAATTTAAGATTAGAGTCCAGGTCAAAAAATATATATCTGTATGGATATTTGTATCTTTATATCTATATATCTTCCTACTATTATTTATGTTAAATATTTAAATGCTTCTGCAGTATGCTTAGCATTTACTATTGCTGATTCAAATATAGACATGAATTCACTAAGAATTATCTTTATGATATAAGGTTTGTGGAACTGTACAGAAAACCTATGATATATCTATGAACATAATGTTTTTCTAATTTATTTCTATTCACATTTATCTGATTACGAAGAAACTGACTTTAATAAAATTAAAATATTTTACTATTTGTTTATTAGTATCAAATACTTTATATGGGTACTTAATAGCATAAAACTTTCTATTTTCATGTGATACCAGCTATTTATTATAACAACAATTAAATGCCATTTACCATCTCCACCCTTACCCCCAAAAGGCTTTCTAACTGCTGCAATCCCAAGTCACCTATAACAGGTGTCATTTTCTCTCACCTTGACACCAGGTCAGTCTGCCAGACACAGCAGAATTTATACTTGGAGTATAGACATAAGCTGGAGTAAGAAACTCAAGATGTAGCTCGTGCCAAATAGGGAATTAAAGCTTTTATGAGAAAGTCAATTGAACAAAAACTCTGTTGCCATTTTCTGTGTTGAGAATAAAACTGCCATAAAAGCAAATGTTCTGTGCACTTAAATGTGCATCACAAACAACAAGAACTTGGGAAATATGATTTTTATGGCTATATGTGTGCTCTTTGAATGAATGAGATCTGACATTGTGCTCTTTTTCTTTGCTATAATCTGGAGAGACATTCATGTTTCATTTTTTTTTAATTGGATTTTTTACTCAACCTTTTTTTTTTTTTTTTTAAGATGGGGCTTGTAGAATTTGGGCTTAAAACGAGGCTGTCAACAATATTTTAAAGTATATCAGTAAATGTACTGTGCTGATCCACATTTGATTTTAGAGTGCTTTTTTTTTTTCCTGAAAAGCTACCTTTGTACAACTTCTATTTTATGTGCAAACAGTCTTTTATACCATTCATAAAAAATTATAGTCTTCAAAATATATCAACTTTCTCTTTATCTTATTTATTTATTAGAATAATAAAATTTCATTATATTTAGTATCTAAATAGAATATCTATTAGATGTATAACAATGTTAATTTACTCCCCTCCCCTTCCACAAAAAATCAACTTTATTGACTAAGTTGGTGTTTTATTGCATTTAATTTTTGTCAAATCTTCCTGTTTGTGACATATAAAAACTAAAATTAACTTTCAAATACATAAATAGTATTATCTTGCTTTTGTAATTTTCATGTTAGATCATTTTTCTTCAGTTTCAAGTTATAAAATAAATATTTAGTTCAAGATTTTATTCATATTTTCTATGGCTGTATGAATATTTCATTAATAGCTATAAGCACAATATTCAGTAGTGACAGGAAAAAATGAGACATTAGTTCAAATAATTTGTCTTCCATCTTGAAGCTGTTTCAATATTGTATCAGTCACTACCTCTCACTGACACTTTCACTTGTCATGTTTATTTGCTCAGGATCCTATTTTCAAATGCTGAATGTGATATTTCTGTAACCCACACAGTGAAGAACTATTTTTACAACTATTATTTCTCAGTGTAGTTGATTTCTCCTCTTTAATATATTTTTTTTTAGCAAAAACAAAATGATGAAAAACTTTCCATTGATTACATGAAGCATTTGTAATTGGGGTAAAATGTTCTAGAAAATGCAATTGAAAGTTTTTTCTATTAGTCTGATTTATATTTTACTTTGAAAATCCTTTCTAAGGGGTGCCTATATATTTTTCAGAGAACATTTGAAAACTTATTAATTACAAAAAAAATGAATGCCAAATGGGAAAAGTGAGAGGTTTTACATGTGTTTATCATCCAGATATTGATGAAAAAAAAAAATTGTAGGTAATCACATTAAATAAAGGAGATTTGGCATTTTTCAGCACAATAAAATGCATAGGTAATTATCAGTGTTGCTCTTTTGGTATTAGTTA